TACTGGGGTTCCAAATCCCTTAGGCTTCAGGGTTAGGGTGAGGGTTTAAAGTCTGTTGTGGATGGAGATGCAGAGCGAGCAGGCTCCTCAAGTGCAGGGTGGCCTTGAAGTATTGGAAATAATGAGTGCGGGGTCCAGGTCAAGTAGAACCTCAACCCCCTTAAACCCCTAGATTGTTTTCTTGATGTGCTGCACGCCCTAAGCGCGAAGCCCCACAAACTCCGGACTCTGAACTCTAAACCCCAAACCCCCTAACCTAAGCCCTGAAATTGCGTTTGAGTCCGAAGAGCCCAAAATCTTGCCATCCACCTCTAATTTGAAAGTGCCTCAAACCGCCGAACTCCAGCCTACGCCCTCAACTCTACATCCTAAAGCCTAGAGCGTTAACCCTAACGCACTTTCCTCTGCTTCATGCAGACGGACAAAGGAGTGGTAAACAAAAGCAAAGAGCCCAACACCTTGTTTGAAACCTTCAACCCTCAACCCTCATCCCTCAACCCTAAACGCTAAACCCTCAACCCTAACCCTGAACCCCATATAATCCCCTATATAACCCAACAAAAACAACAAGCCCAAGACCTGAAACCCTGAGGCGTGGTAGGGGGGAGCGGCCACCCCCCGTCACCATCGAAGTTGCCAGATGGCTGGGGATGGGAGCGGTTCAAAGCCACTGGGACCCCTTGAAGGTCTAGGGTTTAAGTTTTTTTTCTTCGTTGCCGCTGGGACGGCAAGACTTTAGGTTTTAGGGTTTAGGGTTCCTTTTCAGGGTTTTTGGGGTTTGAAGATCTTCTAGTCGTGTTTATAGAGGCTTATAAGGCTTGTAGGGTTTGTAGGGTTTAGGGTTTAGAGCCTAGACAGGGTTGGGTCTAGGGTGTTATGAAGAGTTACGGACTTCGATACATAAGTACTGCCGTCGGGTAGGGATTTGCGTGCCGAGCGGTAAGCCTGAGCATTACAACAGTTGGAGAATGGCTAGCACGACATTAGGGAAGGGAAAAGAGTATGGATAATTTCTTGGGAAATGTGAAGGGACTACTATAAGGATCCACTTCTTGTTTCTTATCTCATGCAACACGAGAATTTCAACGGGAGCAAAGATCAGAATGCTAGAGCGGACATCACAACCCCTGAGCCAGAAACCCGAAGCTTGCAAATCACAGTGACCTCACCCCAAAGGTGGTTCATACAGGACGTGGGCCCAGATTGGCTGAATCTCAGGTTCTGACATAGCTATAAAATGACCACTACCAGAGGGAGTAGAGTTTTCGTGCTTGAAGGCATAGCTGAGCCCAAATCCTGCTATGAACCAGAGAACAACGAAGGCTGTGTATGTGAGGCCATACTTGGAGCCAGGGACCACGGTGGGCCTTCTGTCTGTATTGAGCAGAACCTCCTCAGGAGTTTAGGGCTTGGAGCTTTTGAAGTTGAGAAATTAGGGTTGAGGGTTAGATTTTGTGTTTTCGAATGTAGGGCTTTGAGATCCTAGGTGGTGCATTCAAGTTTTTTGTGGGTGGCTTCTGCAAGTAAATTCAACCGAACCACTAAGCTCGGGACGTTTTAGTGGAATCCTAATCTCCGTAGACGTATGGTTCATGATGAGATAGAAGCCAAGCTTATCTCGCCGGCTGTGAGTCCAACGCTGACCTTAGCTCTACGCCCCAAAGCCGTAAACTCAATAGCCGAGCTTATTAAAAAAAAACGTGTCAGAGGTATTTCCAAAGAGAACTGCTCAGGGAGGGTCTTGAAATTGCTCACGCAGGCGTTCGCGACCCCAGGCGAAACACGAATATTGAGGCGGCTTTGGGCCGAGGTGGAGGGATGGTGGAAGGGGGGGAATAATGAATTACACGGCCGGCAGAGTATACATGTGACGTGATTCAGCACAATCCGGGGCAATGCCGACTTCAACGTTAGCAAACCCGACGTGTGTTTGAGAAGGGTCTTATACTCAAAATTCCGCTCTTCAACTCATGACATGCTAAAAGCATTTGCCAATGTGCGACGACATGCAAACCTCGCAAAATCGTGGCAATCCAGGAAAATGTGAAACACCATGTACGCCGCCCAACAGCAATCTGCAGACAATCAAAATCAAAGAGGTAAATTGCCGGGATCACACATCTCTAGCACAAGCCACTGCAATGCCAGCATCAACCGAACCAGCAAATCAACCGACTCAGAATTGAGCATGCTCTGGCACTCGAAATGAAGATCGCAACATGCTCAAGACACCGGCCAGCGTAGGACGGAATGCAAATCTCGCAAAAGTTATTGAACAACGAAAGCCTCGGAAAACCGTGTACTTTACGCAAAGCCGCACTAGTTGGGAAAAGCATAAAACACGCGCAAGCACGCGACAACAGCCACGGCTTTGTACTCTTCGCATAAAGGCAGCCAAGAAAAGCGCATTTTGATAGGGTTTCCAACCCTACGGGGTACTTCTTTGGAGTCCATCTATGAAAAGGGTACCTACTATAATGGAGAATCAAATGGAAAAGAAAATGGAAAATGAAATGGAAACTGGGATCATGTAGGGGATTACAGGGATAGGATTGTTTGTAGAGTTTTGGGTTCTGTTGAGTCCCCATTTGTTTGGGAAACCGCCGACGTCACTTCACTTAGGCCTGTGGAACGGCCTTCATCGCCGGTTCTTGAGGTTCGCGACCCAGAGTCCAGAGTTTAGGGTTTCAGGGCTCAAGATTCAGACCACGTGAGTTGTGCATTATTTGAGCTGTAGTCTTAACTCCTTAAAGGGGGGCTCTGTAGGGGATTATATAGGGGAGTAGTACAGGAGTTATTAAGGGGATACTAGGAGTTTAGACTATAGCTCATTTGGGGGGATGATAGTCCGGATTACAGAGTAAGATGACTCCTCCGCCTTGCTACAGCATGTTATGATTTTGGGTTTTAGGGTTTAGGGTCATTACCTCGAGGTTCGACCACCAAAATACACTGCTCGCCTGCGTTTCAGGTCTATGTCTTCACTTTTTGGAATCAATGTCAAGGATTCGTGTTCTGCGCATAAGGTAGAAGCTGCATGAGCTGCAATCATTTATAGCATGATGGTTCTAGGTTCCTCGCAGAATCATAGACAGGGTTCCCGAAGCAGACTGCAAAGTGATGTGGGTAACTTTTCAAGAGCTTGTATTAGCCCTTTTGACCTTTCCAAAGGGTATCCGTGATTGTACCAGGCAGCCGTCGGATGCTAAAAGCAGGTAAGATCATGTTTAGGTCAGGGCATTCATATCAACATTCAGGTTACCAGATGACCCTAAACCCTAAACCCTAAACCCTAAACATTAAGGGTTACCAGATGACCATCCAGGGTGGACATTGGAGTCCCTTCGTTAGTTTGGTCTTGTCTCTAACGTTTCCCTACTAGGAGCCCATGAGCTGTAGTCTAAACTCCTTAAAGGGGGATATATGGGTTAGAGTTTTAGGGTTTAGGGGTTTAGGGTTTTAGGGTTTTAGGGTTTAGGGTTTAGGGTCTAAACTCCCTAAAGGGGGGTCATATAGGGGATTATATAGGGGATTACTATAGGGGTTATTAAGGGGGATACTAGGAGTTTAGACTATGGAACACACGTCCATTTTCATATTGGAAAGATGGACTGCAGCTCTGTCATATACTCTCGAGACAGGCAACTGTGTCTTGGCAGAAATCTTGCGCCACCAAAGCATCCCAAGCCCCAGAAACCACGTACTGCGGCGGATCTCATCCTAACTGACCCTAGAGAGAGCCCTTAACTCCCTAAACCCCAAACCCTTAAATCCCAAACCTTAAACCCCGAATTCCTTGAGAGGATGAACGATCAGAAAGATATCGACTACTGGCCCGGTGGTCAAGTGGGCCCGATGTTGCCTGGGGACTGGATCTGGGAGAAGTTCACCGTGGTAGATGCAGGGCACCTGGGTTCAAAGATTGTTTTGGGTTTTCTGGTTTAGGGTTGGGTTTGGGTTTAGGGTTTGGGTTTAGGGTTTAAGGTTTAGGGTTTGGGGTTTAGGATTTAAGGTTTAGGGTCTAGGGTTGAAGTCACTTTGGGACGCAGTTTGAATTTTCCTGTACCGATACCAAGCAAGGAACACAGTTTATGGTTCTCGAAAGCATCCCAAGGAGGAACCAGAATCATCTTATGCACCGTGCGATGCTTAAGCTTCAGTTCTAGACTCTAGACCCTAAACTCGAAACCTTTAAAACCCTTAAACCCTTGACCCTAAACCTTAAACCCGAAACCTTAAACCCTAAACCCTCGACCCTCCTCCAAAGCAACATGGAACCTGAGCAGCGGCGCTACCGTATACAGGGCGATTTTCCTTCGCAAAAAAAGGAGCCCTGTCGGGTCCATTTCCATAAATTCTGGGGCCCAGCATATGCCCCAATGTATTGTAATTCTTGTTATGGGGACTCTACAAATTGTACCCCTCACTTTCAAAACATTCAGTTGAGTTCGTCATCTCCAGGTACGGGGAGGTTGCCCTCTACTGCAAGCATCACAAGCGCTTCCTGTCCATGAATGCCGACAACATGTATGCCAGTGACGAAACAGCGCCTTTCCCAAGTTAAAAAACTAAGCGCCAAACCCTAAACCCTAAACCCTAAACCACGTGCACGCGCTTGATCTGGGTGAACTTGAGGCTCCGCAATATTTCTTAGGGTACGGGAGTGCCTAAACATAAGGGGCTTCCAGGGATGTTGGGGACATGGGGGTACAACGCGATTTTGGTGGTCCTTATTAGGGGTTGGGATGTATGTGAACAACTCTTAAACGGGAATCCCGTGAAGTACACCAGGAAGAGCTTTTATCGTCCTAGGGTTCTGGGGGCTAAGAAATCTTAAGGTCCTAAACCCTAAATTCCTAATCCCTAAGCCCTACACCCTAAACTCTAAGCCCTAAACCATAAACCGCGTGGTAATCTAGAGGGGAAGTTTGACCTTGGAAGCACCCTAGAAGGGACCCGGCTCGTTCTGCTCATGCTTTAGGGCTTGGCAGTGTTTCAGAGATTCGCCGTGTAGAGGAATGGTTGCCCATTATTCTATATAGACATTATTGTAGTATGGGCTCCTGAGTTTCATGGTTGGTGGGTGTAACAAAATGCCAGGGGCACTTTTGCCCGTGAGCACGGATCCCAGATGGTGTTTAAGCTACAAAGTTGAACCCAAACCCTCAAACCTAAAGCCCGAAACGGTAGGAGTTTGGTCTTTAGGGCCCTAGGCTCGCAATCCTAAACCCTTAAACCCTTGAACCCTAAACCCTAAAACCCTAAAACCCTAAAAGCCTAAACCCTAAATTCCTAAACCCCAAACCCCTATTTAAACCTATAACCCTACATGTCCCTTTAAAGGGACCTAGGGCTTCCATTTTCTTTTCCATTATCCCAAACCCCTTAAGATCCTCAAGCCTTAAACCCTAAAACCCTAAAACCCTAAAACCCTAAACCCTAAATTCCTAGTAAACCCTAAACCCCAAACCCTAAAGCCCTAAACCCCAAATTCCTATTAAACCCTAAACCCCAAACCCTTAAAAATCCTCTTTTAATCCCCTATATAACCCCAGTTTCCATTTCATTTTCCATTTTCTTTTCCATTTGATTCTCCATTATTGGGAAAGTAAACCCCAAAACCCTTAAAAATCCCTAAACCCTAAACCCCAAACTCTTCAAAATCCTCAAGGACATAACCCTCAAGTAACCCTACATGTCCCTTTAAAGGGACCTAGGGCCCATTATCCCAAACCCTTAAAGATCCTCAAGGAGATATAAAACCCTAAACCCTAACACCCTAAACCCTAAACCCTAAACCCCAAACTCCTTAAAAATCCTCAAGGACCCTTTAAAGTGACCTAGGGCTTCCATTTTCTTTTCCATTATCCCAAACTCCTTAAGATCCTCAAGGACTAAAACCCTAAACCCTAAACCCTAAAACCCTAAATTCTTATTAAACCCTAAACCCCAAACTCTAAAACATTCCTATAACCCATTGCGGTAACAGTTACTGTAAGGGGGAAGGACCCCACCCAAACCCTTAAAGATCCTCAAGGAGATATAATCCCCTACCCTATATATTCCATTTTCTTTTCCATTTGATTCTCCATTATAAAGGGGGATTATATTGGGTACATAACCCTAACCCCTAAACCCCAAACTCTTAAAACCCTTAAAAATCCTCAAGGAGATGAGCCTCAAGGATGGCTGGACTTGGCAGAGGTTCGCCGTGGTACCGGCTCCCGGGGGTAAGATTGCCCTGCATCCTGAGCTGCGTTTAGGGTGTAGGGTTTAGGGTTTAGGGTTTTAGGGTTTAGGGTTTAGGGTTAAGGGTTTAGGGTTTAGGATGTAAGCTTCTAACAGGATGGATCAAGGGTTTCAGGCTTGTACCCGTAGGGTTGTACCCCTGGGTTTTGGAATCCTTTTCAGGGATCTTAAGGGACTATATTGGCTCATATAAGAGCCATATTCGGCAAACCTTTTAGGGGCCAGACTTTAGGGGTACAACCTTAAAAATCATAAATGGAAAGGAACATGGAAACTACTATAATGGGTCATAATGGGTTATATACGTTTTAGGGGTGAGGGAATGCAGGAATGGAAAAGAAAATGGAAACGACCGTAATGGGTTATATAGGGACTACTATAACGATCCATTCCTTCATTCCGAGCTAACCAAAGACCACTTCAAGGGTTGCGAGGTTTGAAGTTTAGGGTTTAGCGTTCAGGGTTTAGGGTTCAGGTAGGGTTAGGGGATTGGGGTTTCGAGATCAGGGTGTAGTGTTTAGGGTCTAGGAAACCCTCTTTCCATCATGTAAGTCTCCAAGGGCCTCCAAAAAGGGACGACCCTTTAAGAGCCCCAGAAGCCCCTCATTCCTTGGGGGGCTATGTCTTATTTGAGCACCCGTAGCAATCTGTTCTGGGAAGCCCTACGCACTAAACTCTAGAACCCTAAGCATTGTACCACTAAACATCTGCAAGCCTTCTTATTCCTGAAGCACTGAAAGTGAGCCATAAGGCACAACCGAGCGCACAACCGCTTTGTCCAGATGACCGAGCACAATGTGCAAGCTAAAGGTCCAAACGCTCCTCAAGACTCGCGGCTAAACGGGTTTAGGTTTAGGGCTTGGGGTTTCCGGGAGGTTGGATTTGTTTGTACATTTTTTAACATCAAAGTAAAGCCATACAAAAAGAGCTGTCATAGGGGCCCCCCAAACATACCCTAGTTGAGCCTAAGAAGCTGAGAAGGAGTTTGGGACTGGCATGGGGTTGACGGCAGTTTGAAGCCTGAAGCCATCTGAATGAACGAATGAAGGAGGCGACTGTAAACGGAGGGTACAAGGGCCCTACACCCCAAACCCCAAATCCTAAACCCTAAATCCAAAACCCTAAATCCTAAATCCAAAACCCTAAAGCGCAAGCCCGTTACCCCAGGTAAGGGCCTGCAGGACGAATCTAGCCTGTTTAGGGTCTAGGGGTTTGGTTGGATGGAGGAAATCCTGCACCCCCTAGGGCCCCTAAACTTCGGTCATTCCCAGATGTACGGACGTTTAGGGCTTAGGGTCAGAGTTGAAAGCCTAGTTTAGGGTTTAGGGTTTAGGGTTTTAGGGTTTTAGGGTTTTAGGGTTTAGGGTTTAGGGTTTTAGGGTAGGGACCTTCATCAACAGAATGTCAGGTGAAAGACGTAGCAGCCCAGACGATTAGGCACATTCTTCCCGTAAGAATCCGTAGAACACATGAAGTACACTTGCATATACCCCTCCCCCTATAGACTTAAAACCTACACCCCCTACCCTAAACCCTAAACCTCTCTTTCACATATTAATTTAAGTGTTGATTGATCTGTGGGCAAGGTCATTTTTTCTGGGCAAGGTCATCTGTGGGCAAGGTAGGCTTCAACTCTTTGGTTCAGGGCTTAGAATTTAGGGTTCAGGCTGAGGGCTTAGAGATTTGGGCGGTTCAGGGCTTAGAGTTCAGGATTCAGGGCTTAGGGTTCAGGGCTTAGAGTTTAGGGTTCAAGGCTTAGAGTTTAGGGTTCTAGGGTTCATGGCTTAGAGTAAAGGTTCGATGTTAGAGTTCAGGGTTCCAGGCTTTGAGTCTAGGGTTCGAGGGTTCACGGCTTAGAGTTTTGGGACTAGTCTTTCACATAGGGTTTAGGGGAAAAGGTTTAGGGCCTAGGATTTAGGTTTAGGGTTTAGGGCCGAGGAGTTTAGAGCCTAGAATTCACGGTTTAGGGGCTAGGGTTCAGGGCTCAGAGTCTAGGGTTCAGGGCTTAGAGTTTAGGGTTCAAGGCTATAGGGGTTCAGGGCTTAGAGTTTAGGGTTCAGGCCTTAGAGTTTAGGGTTCTGGGCTTAGAGTTTAGGGTTCAGGGCTTAGAGTTTAGGGTTCAGGCCTTAGAGTTTTGGGTTTAGGGCCTAGAGTTTCAGTTTCCAGGCTCAGAATTTAGGGTTCAGGGCGTAGAGTTGAGGGTTCAAGGCTTAGAGTTTAAGGTTCAGGGCTTAAAGTTTGGGGTTCAAGGCTTTAGGGTTCAGGGCCTAGAGTTTCGGGTTCTGGGCTTAGAGCCTAGGGTTCAGGGCTAAGATTTTTCGGTTCAAGACTTTGAATTTAGGGTTCAGGGCTTAGAGCTTGGGGTTCAGGCTGTTAAGATACGCAGGGCAATGTGTGGTGGAAGGGCATCGTTTGATGAGTTGAAATCTTTTGAAAGTGACCTATTTTCTTAATGTTGTGGGAGCCAATGGGCGGGTGGGTATTTTTCTATGACTCAAGACAGCTGCTCTTGGAATGAATGCTTGGACTTGAGATGCTAAACCCTAAGCCCTAAACCCCTCAAACCCGTCCCATTTTGATACCCTGAACATTAGGTGCCAGAATGCAAGCTCTAACCAAAGGGGGGACCACAATTTTGAGCGTATCCCGTATGATTGTAGCATACTCTATACCCAAAACCTTATTCGAATCACTCAGGCCCCTCCATTACTACCCTAAAGTACAACCTAGACCATAAGCCCTCCATTCCACCCGGTTGTCTGCAAGGACTTCGAAGCCGGGTGGACATGGGAGATCTTCCACGTTGTGCAGGTCGACAGATCAAACATTGGTTCAACCTTAGATATTAGTCCCCCACCCTGTAATAGTGGTACAGTAGGAATACACGAGGACCCTAATATAATTCTTTTTATCCCCTATAGTCACTTTTGCAGGGTGGGGGTTCAATCTCAGATATTAGGGTTCCTTAGAAGGGGTTTGATTAGGGTTTATGGTTAAGGGTTGAAGAATGGAGAATTAAATGGAAAGGACGGTGGATGAAATGGACGCTGGGGTTATTCATGGGGTTACATTGATTAATGGGAGGATCTTGGTGACCCAGCCCATGTCGTGAGGACCCTTGAGAGTTATGTGACTGTCATTGGGTTCTTATTTGTGGGGGTTGGGAAGGCAATTGACTCGCTGGTGCTTTATAAGTAACGAGAGAATCCAAAAAAAACACCTACCATATCTGTGTATGGTTTAGGGTTTAAGGATTAGTGTGGGGAATCGGGGAGTCGATTCGTGTGGTCGTTTCATATACAGTCCCTACCAAAACAAACGCTACTCATACGAGCTACGGTTAGTTATAGTGTGAACAAGGGACCATTGTAGGGTTACAGGGTTTTAGGGTTTAGGCTTTAGGGTTTAGGATGTACATAGGGGTGTCTTTGGTAGTTTAGTGTAGTTCCTATATATTCCCTGTAAGAACCCATGTCCATGGAGTATATTGGACATTTTGACTGTAGCTCATATCCCGTTTATCTTTATATGCCCCTATATAACCCCTTCTTTACATCCCCCCACGCCCAAGCAGCAGACCTAGACCCTAAAAACCGTAAAAAGTATTAAAAGCCTTTAAAACCCTAAAACCACAAGAACCTTCAAAACACTAAACACAAAAAACAAGCCACAAAAACCATTAAAAACATTGAAAACCGCAAAAAAAATGAAATCACTAAAAGCCTTAGGCCCTAAGCCCTAAGCCCTAGACCCTAAACAAGCCCTAAGCCCGTAACTCTCGCCAGGTGCCAGACACGAAGGCAGGAGATCCCCCTTTGGCAGGCATGGTATCCTGGTTCAGGAGCCTTGGCTTACTTGATAGTTTTTAATAGGTTTAGGGCTCAGGGTTTAGGGTTTAGGGTTCAGCGTTTAGGGTTTAGGGCCCATTTGGTATATTCTGGTGTATTATGGTATACTACGGTATATTATGGTAGTATTTAGTATATTATAGTATATTAGAGCCTCAGCCCAGTTGATAGGTTTTATAGGGTTTAGTTAAGGTTCAGGGTTTAGGGTTTAAGGGTTTAGGGGTTTAGGGAGAACTAAAAAGGGCCTGTCTAGGGATGGACCGTTCGGACTGTGGGTCAGTCGAATTGTGTGTCATTGTTTCAGATTGGTTGGTTTTGGGGGTTGCCTGCAGTTCGTTATCAAAGCCGAACACGAGGAAAAGGGTACCCTTATTACGAAGGAGTTACTGGGGAACCTGGTACCTGGTGTGTATGTGGGCACCTTGGTTTCAGAAGTTTTCATTTGACTCATCATGAGAAGTGCGACGTGATTTACGGGCTAAGAGTTTAGGCTTTAGGGTACACCTAAACCCTAAACCCTAAGACCCTAAACCCTAAACCCTAGACCCTAAACCCTAAACCACACCAACATTGCCATTGTCGACTCCGGTTTCCCACCCTAAGCCCTAAACTGGGAAGCTTCGGTTCAGCTAGCAAGCCACGCGCACGTCAATCTACAACCTTTATTGCACTAAACCCTCAACCCAACAGCCTAAACCCAAGAATTTGTAAGGTGGGACCCCTATCATCCTTGCGTATAGGCTCCTTTTGAAGCCACCCTAAGCGTTAAATTCCAAACCCTGCCCCCCAAGCCCTCAACCATGAACCCTAAACCTTGGAGTATCCCCTGGAAATCCTAAACCCTGAGCCCTAAACTCTGAATCCTGAAGGCTTGATTTCCCCATTTTCCTTCAAAATCCACCCTAAACCCTGAGCCCTAAGCCCTAAACCTTGAGATCTTGAAATTTCCCCATCCCTCCTCAGATCTTACCCGTGATTAGTAGGAGAACCCTTCTATCCTCCTTATATGTGGTGTTCCCTCATTCTCTACTCACCCCCTAGAAAGCAGAAACCTTACACCCCGAAACCTAAGCCCCAAAATTCCTAAACCCTAAACCCCTAGCCTTACATTGTAAACTCTACTAACCACCAGAAAGCAAGAACCCTACGCCCTAAACCCTAAACCCTGGACGCTGAACCCCGAAATTCCTAGACCCTTCATCCTTAAACCCCTCAACCCCTCAACCCCTAAACCCTAAACCCTAAACCCCTAAACCCCTAAACACTAAATCCTAACCCCCTAAACCCCAAATTCTAACCCCTTAAACCTTAAACCCAAGGAGTGAGGATGCGGAGGTCGCCTGGCGGAGCGCTGTGGGCTCCTATGAAGCCTTCGGATCTGACGGCGCCTCGTCAAGGGTTTGGGGGTTTAGGGGT